ATATTTATTCATTATAATGCATAAACCATCCTGTATGGCAATTGTTTTGATTTTTATATTCAAAATTATTCCTTTAATCTTTGATCTTTATTAAATTAGACAATAATTAATTAGTTTTGGTTTCTTATTATACTCGTTTTTATTGTAGACTTTACGAAAAATGATTCAATAAAATTCTTTATCGCATTTTTCTATTTACATTTATTCTTATTTTTAATCATGTGACAAAGACCTTTTTTGTAACTATGTTCTAAATAAAGGTAAAGTAACCGTTAGCTTTTTTTTAAAGTGACGATGGTAACTTAACCAATATATTTCATAACTATAACCTTTGACTTTTACTAGGTAACATGCCCAACCTTGGTTATGGGTATTAACAACAAATAATCTCATAGAAATATTAAGAATTGATTACATTTGGTTGGATTTATTATTATCTTGTATTTTCGTTTATTAGATTCTTCACAATCGCAAATTATATCATCAGTATTTTCACTGTCTGATTATTATTGTATATCCTGGCAAATGACAATTCATGTTGTAATTTTCACTAAATACATTTCCAAATTGTGGATAAGGCTTTTCAGAAATACCTTAAATATTAATCTTATCAAAATTCATCAGATATAAAAATATTGAACATTCCGTGTAAGCTCTTTATTCATTAAAAATCTTTTAGTTAACGATTTATAATTTAATCAATTGTAGGACAAAATGATCTATTAATATAGGGATTAATCTTCAGGCGTTCATCTTTGCATTCATTGCTATACATTCTCCTTTTCATTTATTTTTATATAATTTTTCATAAAAGTTTTCTTGTCTGATATATGTTCAACTGATTCGGATTCTTCTTTTGAAATATAATCAAAGGAAGTCGAGGACAACCTAATTGGAGGGCAATTACATACCCCCACCAAGTTTTATATCAGATTACGGCTCTGGTGATTTTATAAGAGGTCTCTATTACGATTAAAAATTATCTAAAATCTTCTATCTCAAATGATTCTTGACTTGGGTGTATAATCATCCTTGCAAAGCAATCCAATATCGATCCTTCAAAATTTCATAAAAAATATGTCGCTGATGATACAAGGAAAAAGGGATCGGATCCTATTTCTATAAAAATTCTTGCTAGTGATTCGGAATCCCTTGGGAAAATATATTAGGGCATCCTGGGAATGTTCTAGTACATCCTGGAATGTTCTATTTGTAAGGTTTCGCTATGTATTAACGCTAAAAGAAATGATTTTTCTTTTCATAACAAAAAATAATGTTTATAATACACAGTGGGAAAAATATGTCCCTCCCCCAGTTATAAATTATTTTGTAATTTTTGTATTTTATATTATAAAATTTCAATAAATATCAAAGAATAACATTTTAAACAATCTCAGTGATTATTTTATATAAGTTTTTATAAATGAGCAATAGAGGATTTTTTTTAATGTTGAAATGTAGCAATAAAGGGTTAAATAGAAAAGATTTTATTTGAGAAAAATAGACCTATATAATAGCATCTAGATAATCCTCAGGAAATGTGTTGATATGATATTCTAATATAAAATATATGAATATCATAAGAGAAATGTTATAATTTATATAATAAAATGAAATAATATATATGTCGTAATTTTTAAAGGGATCATGACTATGCGGGATCTTCACGGGATTTTAAGGGATAACTAAAAAATTAGGGTTTTAAATTAAGGAATGATAATACGGGATTATCACGTTTTAATCGTGATAAAGAGGAATCTTATTTTAAAAGCGTTTTCCACGAGTTTAGTTGCGTTTTTTAATTTTCAATTTTGTTTTTTTTTGGCCTTATGATATAAGATATGTCTAGTATAGGGTATCAATCTATAGCTAATCAAAAGATCTATTCAACTGGAGGTCAATCTCTGCCCCATAATGGGCGGTCTAGGGGAGTAGGGGTGGTGGGGGGGGGAGTGTAAAAAATAATTTTTTTTGATATGGGTATTAAATAAAAGCTAATTTTAATATGGTTTGACTGAAAGTCTTTAATCTTGGTCTTGATGGGTATGATTTGGTCTGAAAATTGGAAATATAATATTATGGAAAGATAATTATACTACAAACTCGATTGGCAACAGCATCGAAAATATTTTAACCAGACTACCTTCGTTCATTTCATATTTAATAGATAGGAAGAAGCAAGAGAATGCTTATAAGAATAAAATTAAAAAGATAAAATTTTGCATTGGGGATCACGCACTGATCCCAATAAATAAAAATGATAGATCTAATCTATGCCCCAAAAATATTGAGGCCGAAATTATACAAATGGAGGGCGAAAAATTATGGGTTGGAACTAATTTGGGAAAAATTGATTCCCCATTTTTAAAAACGAACATTCATAAATCAATAAATTACCAATTTTACCATTCCTAATAAGACGATCTCCATAATAACAGCATCAAGAAGTACATCTTCTTATGGTAGTTTTGAATCAATTTGCAATTGCCAAAAAAGTTGCAACAATAAGAGGTGTCAATGTTTTAAAAATGGCATTAATTGTTTCACAAAATGTCACTTAAATATTATTTGTGTAAATAATAAATAATTGTTCATATATTTTAAATTAATTATCGAAATCAATAAAATATGTTGTTGATTATATAGCTTGAAAAAAAATATTATAATATAGATGATTTGCTTATAAAGAAGTGCAATAATTTATAACTGCAATAAGAAAAATTTATAATGTCATTTTAAAATTTGTGAATCGATGGTTTCAAATATAGCCGAAATTTTGAGATTTAAAAATATTACAAATTAGATTAAGTTGCTAGCAAATAATTTTATCATTAGGCTACAATGAGTTTATAAATAGCAATGACTATATTTAACCCCTGCTTATAATTGTATTTAATAATGAAGTCTAAATGTATTTAACTTTAATTTAATACCCATGTTTATGTTCTGTTTAATTACTATTTATTAGATATCCATAAAAATTCACTATCTTATGGCCAGTTGAAATATAGTATGTTTAGACTAGGCCAGAAAATAAACTTTCACTTAACTCATCTAACTCAAAAACTATTATAGACGCTCTAATTTTTTTTAAAGATTAAGAATTGATCTATACATTGATATTAATTTTTGGTTGATATATTACCTTAAAATGTTTTCTCAAATTGAAGCAACTGGTTTTGTTTGATGATAAAACCTCCCACATCTTACAGCAAATATATATATTGTGTTAATTTTTTTTATCGAGTTTGAAATAATTTGTGAATTAAGGAAAAGGAAATTCCATATCATCATCATTTTCAAGGGATATTCCTTTGTAGATATGTACCAAAATTATTTTACACCCCCCCACCCCCCCCCATCCCCCCAGACCGCTAATTATGGGGCAGAGATTGACCTCCAGTTGAATAGATCTTTTGATTAGCTATCGATTGACACCCATATCAAAAAAAATTATTTTTTACACCCCCCCCAGACCGCCTGTTATGGGGTAGAAATTGACCTTCAGTTGATTAGATCTTTTGATTGGCTATCGATTGATACTCATATTAAAAAAAATAATTTTTTTACACCCCCCCTGACCGCCCATTATGGGGCAGAGATTTACCTCCAGTTGAATAGATCTTTTGATTGGCTATCAATTGATACCCATATCAAAAAAAATTATTTTTTACACCCCCCCCCCAGATTGCCTATTAAGGGGTAGAAATTGACCTTCAGTTGAATAGATCTTTTGATTAGCTATCGATTGATACCCATATCAAAAAAATATATTATTTACACACCCCCCCCCCTTCCAGGTCGCCTATTATGGTGCAGAGATTGACCTCCCTTTTGAATAGATCTTTTGATTAGCTATCGATTGATATGCATATCAAAAAAAAATATTTTTTACACCCCCCCCCACCCCTAGCCTCCTAGACCGCCCATTATGGGGCAGAGATTGACTTCCAGTTGAATAGATCTTTTGATTAGCTATCGATTGATACCCATATCAAAAAAAATTATTTTTTACACCCCCCCCCTCCAGACCGCCCATTATGGGGCAGAGATTGACTTCCAGTTGAATAGATCTTTTGATTAGCTATGGATTGATACCCTATACTAGACATATCTTATATTATAAGGCCAAAAAAACAACATTGAAAATTAAAAAACGCAATGAAACTTGTGGAAAACGCTTTTAAAATAAGATTCCTCTTTATCACGATTAAAACGTGATAATACAGTATAGTTCTTTATCCTTTAAAAAATTGAAATTTTAAAGGGATCCCTTTAAATCACGCGAAGATCCCAGATAGTCATGATCCCTTTAAAAATTACAACATATATTTTATAATTTTTTTATGATTGGCCCCTTTTTCCCATTTATTACTCATTGGTCTCAAAAATTGTTTTATCATGGCCTCATAGACAAAGTGCCCACTTGTTCTTATGACTAGTCTGCCTCTGATTTCGGTTAAATTCTTCAAAACTGATCTGACATCTTTAACATTTGATGGGGCTACAATTAAATCAATAATAATTCATGATATATTATATCTTTATAGGATCATAATTTGAGTGATCCAATTAACCTTTAATGAATTACTAAATTAAATAATATAAAAATAGATATATATGAATAATTTTTGAATATTTTAGGAAAGTAAACTTTAAAATAACATGAAAATCAATAACAATAATATATAATTTAATCAAGTGTAATTTTTTCCAATGAAGTGTAAGTGCTCTCACTTACCCCCTCTTTTGACAAACTTAGAAAATAGGATTATTTTTTTTAGGTTTAAAGTCTCTATTCTGACCTTATTTTGAAAATATTAAAAGCCAGAACCATTAATTTGTACAGGTTCCAAACTTTGATTTTTCCAAATAAAATTAATTGGAAATTCTGCTACCAAAAATTTACTTTAAATTTTAGAAATATCCAGGAGCTTAAATTACTAAAAAAATTATATAACATAATAATTTTATATTATTAATGAAAAACACTTAATTACTTTTAAAATTTGAACAGGGTGTGGAAGCAATTTTGCAGGCAACATACATAGACTTACTTATGTGATTGTCTTTGTAAATTAATTCAGATTCTGCTAAAGTTGTCCTAAAATTATATGAATATATAACTATATGTTAAGAACTTTGATGAAGGAGACCAATATATTGGAAGAAAGTTTTTAAATATATAACCCTAATAAACAAAATTATCATATAATAATGCTAATTGATAACTTTTGTAAAAAGATTGAAAAAATTCAAAATTTCATTGGATTCATAATGATTATTAAAGGTATAATAACAATCCTTCCAGTTTGCCATGACTCCCCAAATTTGAAATGCCTCTTTTTGTTTCTCAATTGCTGCCAATGCATATTCTTTACCTATAAATTTATTATTGTTCATTTGTTATAAAAAAGAAATATTTACATAAACGCCTCAGATTAGAAACTTTGTGCTTGCCATAATTATTTACTGCCTTCATTTCTATTGGAAGACCATGGCAATCCCAGCCAGGTTGATAATGAATTTTATCCCCTCTTAACATATGGAAACGATTTATAATATCTTTTAATATCTTATTAACTGCATGACCTAAATGAGGCACACCATTTGCATATGGGGGTCCATCGTGAAGAGAAAAAACTTTAGCATTGATTCTAATCTCACGTTGCCATTTATATAATTTATTAAATCCAAATATCTGTGATATAAAATTATCAAGCTGAGATCTACATCCTTCATTAATATGTGATGGAAATGTTGATTTAGGAATATATATAGTTTTAAAAAATGGTTTGTTAGAATATGCGGAATTGAAATAAATTTTAAAACAATAATTTTTTAAAAGAAGCATGATACATGGAACAATTGAATAAATTAGAATCAGCAATCATTTATATTGGAGTTGTGGCTGTCCATTATTTGATCATAGAATATCATAGTTGAAATATTAAAGAGGTCATATTAAAAAAAATTAAAATAAAACAATTATTAGTACAATGGAATGATATATTTGTTAGTCTTTCTTATATTATATACATATACAAATCTGAATTGATTTGTTGATGATTTGAATCTTTTTATTAGTTACTAAAATTGGTGAATATAGTTATTTATAATATTATTATACGGAAAAAAATCCTTAGTCTGTGAATATACAGGATACATAGATCGTTTTAGCAATGTAAAAGTAGATAACGATTTCACATCTAATTATTGAAGTATGTAGAGTAATCAGGGTTGCCAGATATTCTTCACTTGAAAACGTGAGTTTTTCTTTTATAATAATTAATGGGGGACTTCGCCCCCATACCCCCAATTTGCGGGCCTTTAGCCAGCTTTTGCCCGGCCTTTGTCCGGGGTAATTGCTGTAGCATACTCATCTAAGTTAATATGTTATATTTATATTTAATATAACAAGATTTTAAAGTCAATGAAAATTCTTTATTGATTTACTAATAACAATTATGATATATAATTTTCTCATGCTTATAAATATAGCATAATATTAATTATTATATTTTATGTATGATTTTAAAAAAGGCAATAAAGATTTCCCATCGGCACTGTGGAGATAGGCTGAAAACTCTTTGCATAAATAGTTATATTTTGTTTAACCATAAATTCAACTTCCAATGATGACGTTCTTTTCGCCAAGCAGTAGTCATTAGACTGAATATTCTCTCTGATGAAGCATTTGAATGCGGAATAGAAAATATAAAATTGCATATTTTCTCTATCAATGATGAGTATTTATTAGAAAGAAAATCCATCCATTTTTCTTGGGTATTCATGTGATATTTTTTGATAATTTTTCTTCATAATAGGTATAAAATTTTGAATATTCCTCAAAGAGAATTTCTGTATCTATGTTTGGTATTTATTTTATAATTACTAAATTTTTGTAATTGCTCAAATTTTGGACATTATTTTAATGCCATAGGGCTAAGATATTTCCATATATTATCTACAATATCATAACGTTTTTCTACATATTCTATAATATTTTTTATATATATCTTTTATTCATTTTTGAAATTTATTGCCTTTTCTATATCATTATTATGTTGTAAAATATTTTTAGAAATGCTCCCATAAAAATTTTGTTGAATTTTTAAATTTAATGAATTCTTTAGTTTTAGGATTAGATCATGTATATATATCGCTAATACATCTTTAGATTGCAATTGTAAATTTATGTTATTGACTAAAGTGCCAACGTTAAGGTCAAAACCTAAATATGCCTCCGCAAAATCATCTCCAAAAATTATTTTCAAAATTGGTGGGGTTGCTGATCATGATAAAAAATATTCTTTAAGGGTTTAAAAATGCTTAAGCATCCGATTATTCGCTGGGATTATTGTAGCCAGCGTGTTGGAACATGGCGAAGTGATTCTGACCATTCTAAATTGCACCATTCTACCAATTCTTTTAAAATTGTAACTCATTTTGTCGAGTTGCTAAATTCATTATAGCATTAAGCAGATTCCCTTTTTTGTTCTAATGCCAATCTTAGACTTTTTCTTATAGAGGCTTGATAGTGGAAACTATTTTTTGGCCTTGGAAATATAAAAATGTGTAAAAGGTGTTAACATAAATCATTATATTTTCTGAAGGAATAAATTATCGTATGACTTTTAATTTCATAATTCCTCTAAATATTATTTTTAAAGAACTTGAATATCTATCTATTTTCATTTATTATAACTTCTTAAAAATTTATCTTCTCCTTAATAATGTTGTTAAAAAGACTGATTTATGTCGATTTTAAAAAACTGTAAACCTTGATATTTCGCTTTTAGATCTTCAAATCTTTTTTCTACCGTCTATGAACAAAATCACCAACCTTATATAATATAATTTTGACTAGAAAAGTATTCAAGCCATTTTACAAATCGTGCTCTTTAACAACATTATTCCTTAAGCTGTAAAGGCTTGCCCTGGTAACAAGTAGAATCATTCATGATTTTTCATAATTCCACTATTGTTTCTCTATTCTATAATTTTCAGTCGGAATACCTTCATCATGCTGTATAAGATTATATTTTTATTATAGTCTTGCGGATATTTATGGTATAGATATTAAATAGTCATATTTCATATAATTTTTATTCAATATTAATAAATTATTAACATTTATGATCCTGAATTATTGTTAATTTTTTATTTTATATTCCATACTTTATTTTACTTTATTCAAAAATTTTAGTTATATATATCTTTTTTCTTTCAGTATGTGTACGTATAAATATTTATTATTTATTTTATTTTATTTTTATTATTTAAGTAGGTATTCTAAACTAAATAATTGTTGTAAGTTACTATATTTCATTTTACTTTATATAATTTATTCTAAAAATGTAGGGATCGAAATATGCTTTCTGTATATTTATTCATCATCATAATAGCACATGATCAATAATCATAAGTACATGAGGAGTAATCTGAAATCATAAGCACATGAGAAGTAATCAAAAGCACTTAGAAGTATATTAATCATAAGATAAAATAATACATCATATTTTATAAAAATGCTTGGTTGATATATCTATTTCAAGACTAGCGACGCCCCTGACATTTACTATTATATATATATGCGTAAATTTTATTTCTTCAATCCTGTTTGATTTATCGAGGAAAGAGGGCGTGTTGTTTCCAATAAAATTCATTGGTTATATCTGTCGATTTGTAATTGACATTTATATAGGTTTTGTCAATATACAGTCAAACCCGTTTAATTGCATAACGCTTACGTGAAAACACTTTTAAATGCGAAAAAACACCCCGATTTTGATAAAAATTATTATGGTATAATGTTAAATTACTGTTATAATTGCTAATCGGTTAATTGCGAAATATAGGATTATGACAATAACGTAATTTAATCTAGAAATGAAAAAAAAATTATTCACTTAAATTATTCGTGATTTTTTTATGTGAGCTGCACCTTTAATTTTTTAATACAAAAATGATAATTTTATTATATATTGTAATCATGTTAAAATTATTTTTATAATAAAACATCTTTCCAAACCTTAACTCTCAAGCAAAAGGGGGAAATCATTGAAAAAAGCACTACTTCAAAAACACATAGCTTTAAGTTATAAATGTCAAGTTTCCACAATTTACAGATTGAAAGCTAATAAAGCAAGTATATGCTCACAATTTCTAAGGAAGTAACGAAAAGAGTTAGAATGAGTTGTTACCCAATGGGCATAGGTGCAATTAGATCCTTTAAATGTTATTATAGAAAGGGTCATACTCATGAATAAGATGATAACGTTGATGGAAGGAAATGAAACCCCCTATTTTTTAAAAGATTTACACTTTATGATATCCTCTATCTTATAAAATTTGCATGGGGTGAGGTAATAAGTACCACAATCATAAAATGCTTTATTGAAGTATTTTGTAGAATAGTCTATGGCATTTGATTAGGAATCGGATGAGATATAGCACTAAGACACTAACTGACAATGAAGAAAATGAATTTGATCCCATATTTGAAGAATATGCGTTACACGATGAAAATGCTATCTGTCATGGAATATTGGATGATCAGGGCATTTGTAATTAAATATGATTAGAATCGGAAGGTATAATCACTTCAAAAATTTTAAATAATATTATTTTTTATAGAAGGTTATAGAATGGCGAAAGGAATCTAGAGATATCTGATCAATTCCAAAAAATCAGGGTCGTTATTATACTTTTCTTTTCTTGTAAATGCTCATGATCATCTAAGGGATGAAGACTCACTAAATAATCTAGAGAATATAGTAGGAAAAAAATTTTTCTAGCCAAACTCTTATCATAAAATATTTTTATTAAATCTTTCTATTTTATAATAATTGTGATGCATAGAAAATAAGTTCAAATAAAATATTATGTTAACAAAGCATTAATAAACTTTCATTCCGACATGGCCTGTTAATACATTTACATTTATATTATTAGAAATTCATAAGTTTATTTTTTAAACAATAGTTTTTTGTAGAAGGTAATGAAAGCTCTGAATTGTTGAAGGGAATCTAAAGATCTTATATAAACCTTTTATGAATAGGCACAGGATAATCTAAGGGAACAGGATTCACTAAGAAAGCTAGAGGATATAATAAAAATAATTAACCATCAAGTCTTTGAGAACTCCTATCACAAATTATTTTTATAAGAGGCAAAAAAATTATCTTTATTGTATAATCATATTAAATATGTCTAATTTTCAAAGGGATCAGAACTATCCGAAATCATAACGGGTTTTAAAGGGATAACTAAAAAATAGAGTTTTAAGTTAAGGAATGATAATACGGTATTATCACGTTTTAATAATGATAAATAGGAATCTTATATTAAAAAGGTTTCACGCGCGTTTAGTTTTGTTTCTTTTTAATTTTATTGTTATTTATTAATTTTCAATATTGTTATTTTTGACCTTATGAAATAAGATATGCCTAATATAGGGTATCAATCGTTAGCTAATCAAAAGATCTACTCAACTGGCGGTCAATTTCTTCCCCTTAATGGGCGAGTCTAGATCTGGAGTCAGGAATATCTTTATCAATATAAATAACGATATGGGAATCAAATAATAGCTAATTTTAATATCTTTTGACTGAAAGTCTTCATTCTTGGTCTTGATGGGTATGATGTCTGGGGGATGGATGGGGGGGGGGTTGTAAAAAATTATATTTTTATGATATGGGTTTCAAATAAAATGTATTAAAATATTTTTTATTGTAATAATAATAATCACTCATAGAAGGCGGGTCTAGGTCTGGGGGGGGGGGTCTGGAAAATTTTTATCAACACAAAATATGGATATGGGTCTCAAATAAAAGCTAATTTAAATATATTTAGATTGAAAGTATTCATTTTTGGTCTTGATGGGCATGACTTGGTCTGAAGGGTGGATGTATAGGGGGATGTAAAAAATATTTATTTTTGATATGGGTTCAAATTAAAATATTTTTTATTGTATTCTATATTATAATTTTCCGATATCCTCACTACGTCATCGTGACGTCATGTCATCGCTACGTCATGTCATTGCTACGTCATGTCATCGGTATGTATTTGTTTTTATTTTTTTTATTTGTTGATTTTTTTATTTTTATTTTTTTTCTATACAAGCAGATGATCTTATAACTTTAGTTTTCTGTGCAAATGTAGATTCCAAAGTAAAACTTTAAATATTCTTTTAATATATCATTATAAAATTTTACAACCTATGCAAATATTGGATGTCAAAATACATTAAATATATCTATTTACAAAATATTACAAATAATTAATATATATATATATATGATTTAATCACCAGCAGTCAAAACAGTTATTACACAAGATCAAAAATAATTTTTTCACAAAGTGAGTAATTATAATTTATTTATCTTAATAAAAGTAAAATATAATTATAAAACTATTGATAAAATTAAATTATAAATTAAATAAAAAAATTAAAGCACAATACAAACAGTGGAATATTATTTGTTGTAGATTTACATTATATCTAATTATCAATTATCATATGACAATCAAATAATTTTTACCACTATAGCGAATTATATATTTTACAGAAAACTTATAAAATATTGATAAGGACATCAGAAAATATCTTTTAAAAACATCATGTGATAAATAATATGAAGATTAATTTTTAATATCAATCTTTTATTTAAAATAAATAGATGGCGTTAATTAATTGAATGCAAATTGTTGCTATATTTATTATCAAGAGCATTGATTAGTAAAATTTATTAAAATATTAACTGTGTAATATATACTCTAACTGTCAAATATGTCTGTAAAAGTGGAATTTTACTTAGTATTCAGTAAATTTGAGTGGGGGTACTTTTTTTTACATCCATCATGATCATATGATTTTTGGTTTATAAATGTAACAATAAGACCCCCCCCCCCCCACTTAATATTTAATTTAATATATTGAGGGAAATTTTGGTCGATGTTTAGTAAATTTGTTATCCGAAATTTCTTGTCATAAATTATTTTTCCAATTTTAAAATATGTCTAAAAATATTAACCAATAATGACAATAGCAAATTCCTTTTGATTATTTATAGTATTAAAATGTATAAAGTTTTTTGCTTAACATGACTCTTATTTGGTGGTCCACACGCAAATTCAAAATGGACATGTGAAGGTCTAGATAAATGGAAAAATATTAATCGTGATATTATTCTGCATGAATCTTCACAGGCACATATGATGGCCGATTATGGAAGGCTTTCTCATAATAAAAATTCGATATTAAAATTTATAACACATCAGAAAGAATGTGTAGATAATAACCGTTCTATTATAAGAATTATAATAAGATGTTTAGATTATTTAATATCTCGTAACCAAGCCTTCTGGGGTAACAGAAAGACTAATTGACATATATTGTAGGGGAAATGCCACAGGTCTCGATAAAAAGTATAATATAATATCCAAACTTGGCTCGATGAATTTACCTCTTGAACAACTATTTGGGCAAAGTTATGATGGCGCCTCAAACATGAGTGGAAGAATCAATGGTGTGAAAGCCTTGATTAGAGCAGAGGCGCCAAAGGCAGATTTTATTTGGTGTTATTGTCATCGATTAAATTTAATCGTTGTTCAATCATGCCAATCAATTAAAGAACTTCGAAATGTTCTAGGAATACTAGATGAGATTTATGTCTATTTTAATGGTGTAAAAAGATATGAGGTACTCAAAAAATTTCAGTGTAATGATCTGAAAAAATCGAACGATTTCTACGCATCAATAATACCACTCGGTAATAGTACCTTATTTATTTAGATTTAAAATGTTTTTTTATTTAGAAGCTGGTTATCCTCATATAAAGCTATTGTAAATTTTTTTCTACTTTATGATGCCTTGAGGGAAGAAGGATTCTGAAGATCCTGCCACTTCCACTATGGCTAGTGCTATAGTCTTTAGAATAGAAAAATTTAATTTTATTTTATCACTTTGTGTTTTGGATAAAATATTGTTGATAACAAGTTTGACTTGTACAAAATTGCAAACCATTTCGAAGGATATATGGTATGCAATAAATCAAATTCAATTGGCAAAAGATTGCTTGATTAATTTGAGAAGTATAATAAAAATTATTGTCTTAATTATTTTTTAATCTAATAGATAATAACACTGAATTTTTGTATGTTTTTTCAAAGGCGCAAGATTTTATGAAGGAGAGAAATCTACATTTTTGATTAGGTGTGTTTTATGCTGCACTCGATTTAATTATTATGCAGTTTAACGAAAGATTTAATGATGATTCCATGAAATCTTTACATCAAACATCATTTTTTACGCCAAAGGGAATGGCAGAAAAATCAATTATTAAAGAAGATATCGAGGATATCTGTGAATTTTACAATTTAAATTCAAGTAAAATTTTCGAAGAAATGTTGAAGTTTAGAAATATTTATAAGATGGCCAAAATGGGGAATTTAATTATTACTCATGACCTAGAGGTTCAAGAATCTAAAGATTTGTCAGATTCTGAGAATTGTAAATTTATTTAATTAAAATATTTTTACCAATACATTATTTAGCTTCTTCTGATGATGATGATAATTCAGGGACTTACGATTCAGAGGAAGAACTATTCATTTATTTTACCTTATCGTTTACTTTAAAATTTTTCTGCTTTCCCTAATTTAAGAATTTTATATAAATATTTATTAACCATTCCCACAACCTCATGTACTGCCGAAAGAGTCATGAGTAAAATTAAATTAATTAAAACAAGACTGCGCAGTACCATGAAAGATTCTTTTCTCAATAATTTAACCATATTATCAATGGAAAATTTTTTATTTAAACAATTAAATACTGATGAAATTATAAATTCTTTCGCTTTCTCTTCCCCTAATTTATCTTAATTATTAATTTAAAATAATATTTATAAAGTTATATTTTTTGCATTTTATTTATATTATATATTAAAAATTGATGCAATAAAAATTATTTTTGAAATTTATGAGTATCATAATTATCATTTTTTCGAAGGGGGGGGGATACTTTTCAAGTGGGTACTTTTCATGGGGGTATTCTGCTTCATTCGCTCAAAAAATGTAGGGGCCACTGATCCTGACTACGCCTATGGTATACACTCAAAAATTAATATATTTTTAAAATCTCAAAAATCAATAAATAAAAATGGATAAACTGAGAATGAATATCATAACTCCAAAAATAATGATAGCAAATTCAAAATTTTTTTATTTTTTTTTATATAAGTCAGTTTACACAAAATGAGTGAAAAAAATAATATTTTTTTAAATCCCAAGAATCTAAAAAAATAATACTAAGCTGAGAATAAACATAATGACTCCAAAAATAATGATGAAAACATCAAGTTTTTTAATTTTATGTTTATATAAGTTAGTTTACAGAAAATGAATCAAAAAAATAATATGTTTTAAATCTCAAAAATCTATTAAAAAAATGACTAAACCAAGAATGGACAATATAACTTCAATATTAATAATGGAAACTTCAATTATTTTTTGTTGTATATTTATATACGTTAGTTTACACAAATTGAGTTAAAAAAATAATATATTATAATTTTTTAAATCCCAAAAATCTTAAAAAAATGACTAAATTAAATATAATATATCTGTTCTATACATAATATAAATTTATGAACTACTCCTTCTTTCATATTTTATTTCATTTATATAATTTTCATTTTGGATAAATTTGATTTACAGAATAAAAACATTTTATTTATATTTTTAAAAATGACAGGCTATAATATAGAAATAAATACCTGTCCATTCTAAATTTTCATGTCAATTCTCAGTTTAGTTACACCGGTTTAAAGTACGATACGATTCAAATATGATTTTGAAAGTTTGGGGTCCTGGTTGGGGATGTCCATCTATAGATGCTAACTCTCTAATTTTGATGGTATATAATTTACATTGTTTATTTTTTTATTCACTTTACAGTCTATAAATAAAATATGTGGCAATCATATAATTGTGGATCATTCAAATATAACTTTTGACGCTATTTTTAGTAAAATATAATTATGATATTAATATTTTATTTATTTTAGATAAAATACCAATGCTAATTCATGGGAAAAAATCTATATTTTTAAATATAAATTTTATTATAAATCATTTTAAGAAACAAGTTTAATAGCATTTTAATTAATAATAAACATTTTTACAAGAATATAGACTCAGATACTCTTACCGATTTTGAAATATTGCTTGATTCTGAATCTTTTATCAACTATATTTGTCAAAGTTTATATCCAGCAATAGTAAAGAATGGTTCTTTAAATATATTATTAAATATATAGATTGTTTATTTAAAATAAATTGTTTTAAATCATCCTAATTTTTTTAAAATCTATATTTTAAACTTATATATTTTTTTCAAAATTATATATACTGCAGGCTTAACACACAGGCTGGGCCAAATTTTAATTTTTTTAAATATACTTGGTCCTGAGATTTTTTTTAAAAAATGTCTGGCCTAAAAAAATTACTCAGGCTGGGCCATATATTTTAAAACCAAATATTTTAAATCTCCTTTATTAGCTAATAAAATTAAAATAGTATTTTTTTTAAATAATCTGGACCATACCTGCTAAATTTTTTTAAAAAATCTGGGTTGTGCTTTATAATTGGTACCTCTGCAGATTTCTTTTTTCTTAAAAAATATGGAAACATATATTGTATTATAATTACTTTTATTTATTATTTAAATATTAAGCCGAGTTTTTAATTCATATCAACCACCAAATTCTTTCATTTTTATTCTAAATTTTTGTTGTTAAATTTCTAGTCAAGATTGTTAATCTTATTAATATTGAATTAATCAATGCATGTAAATTTATATTTTTATAATTTATTTTATAAAGAATATGTCATTTGTACATTTTCTTTAGATGAAGCTGAAGAAAGCATGCCTTTGCATTAATATGAAACATTTTACACCAATGAAGGAAAGTAAGGGTACAAAGTTTACACTTTGTAAGTGTAAATTGTGTCTCAGCTCAAATATTTTAACCTCAATTGTGGAATAAACAAGGGCATTCTTGATACCATGCAGCCATTTTTATATAATGGGATATATGATTAAACTGGTTATAACAAAATAGAACTTATTCTATAACTACGTAAAATTAATAGTCTTATTAAGGAGAATGATCACACATTTGACGAATCTTGTGATAAATCCTAATTACAGAGATTTTTAGATAATAACAAATTGTTTATAGATGAATATTGTAGGGTTATATATATATGATTTTATAGGTTATGGAACTGGTTCCTATGGCTCTTTCGATTTTAGAGGGAGAAGAAAATGCATTTGTGAAATCTTACTCCCATGATAACTATTATAATATTTAAAAAATGATTTAAAATTATTTCATTTTGTAAGCCACTTATTAATGCAATTCTGCAAGACAAAGATAAAAGGTAGTGATGTTAAAAGTTACTTTTGAAACATAACTAGTTACAGTTACTAGTTACATTGGCAAAAACATAACTAGTTACAGTTACTAGTTACATTTTTACAAAAGTAACTAGTTATTAGTTACATTTATTTTCAAAAGTAACTAGTTACTTACTTTATACATCCTTCATATGCGCATTATTTATTTATTAAATGCATTTATTTAATATAAAAAAAATTAGGATAAACAAAGTATAATCAGTTATTTAAAATAATATACAATTTATTTATATAAAAAAATATCGCAAAATTGAATATTTACATCGAATATAAAAATATATATTTGCATTGAAAAAAAAACATTTATTTTTCATAAAAATTAGAATCTAATAAATGTTTATTTGCTTTTAACAACAAATTAATTTCAAAGTTATTATCTAGGAGACGTGCTCGTTTATCTCCAAAGATGAGCTTACCTAGACTGAATAAGCGCTCTACGGGAGCACTTGATGTTAGAACAACATTATATTTAATAAAGAGTAATTTTAACTTTGGAAAATCGTTATATAAAGAAAAAGTGTTGTTATTAGATTTGATAAAGTTTTCTATAAGTTCATTATCCAGAATATTTTGGCGCTTTAGGTCAAAAAATTCAACTACATCAAGTGATGTTAGTTTTGAGCATTATTCATTCGTCTGGGATTCACTTTTAGGTATTAAGGTATTTATTAAATTTAAAATTTCCTCCTTTTTTGCTTTATTCCTTTCTTGCTTAATCCAAGGCCAGTCAGTTTTAAATAAAGGATGAAGAATTGCAGCAATGATGTTGTCATTATCATAAAGATTATTAAACCTATAACATGATATTATTAATTTATAAATAATTATTTGATTTTAGTTACCTTTTTTTAATACTAGCTAATATAGTATCCTTTAGAGGTTGACAATATTTTAATCCCTGCACATCTGCCATACATATAAGTATTTGTGTTATTGTTGGGAACAATCAGACATTTTCACAAAATTTTAAATTAATAAATTTAATTTAAAAAATAAATTTAATTTAAAATTAATTTATCACAACATATTAAAAATAAAATTAATTATTTGAATATATCTTTAAAAGTAACTAGTTACTTTTGGCAGTTACATTTCAAAATTTTTAACTAGTTACAATTTTAAAAATATAACTAGTTACAGTTATTTTTTAGCCAAAATGTAACTAGTTACAGGTAACTAGCTACTTGTAACTAGTTACCTTAACATCACTAATAAAAGGTACAAAGTTGATATTCTTTACAATTTAATATTTTATTTCAATTGAATATATATTATCAGCAATAATTCACCTGCTATTTAAATTAGATTGACCCTAGTAAAACTAGATGGCAGCGGAAAAAGGAAGCATGTTTATCCTGTTTGATAAAAGATCTTGACAGAGAAAAGGCATCTTTTGATTCATTTAAAACCACATGTACGGATTATTTTTTAATAAAGATGATTTAAAAAAAATTGGATGGGGATCTAATGAAGATTTTGACAAAGAACTAACTTTTTTCAAATAAGATTGTTCTTTAATTTTTAATAAATTCTCCCAATCAAAATTTTTATTTATCCAATACATCCCCTGCTCCAGTTGAACGTTAAACACTCTTGTTTATCGGATCGAAAATTTAATAATAATTTATAAAAATAAATAAAAAATTATTACAAAAATGTTTGATCTTATAATATATAATTTTTTGCATAATTTTATTCGGGAAATTTTTTTTTGTATATAATATTCATTATATAAGTAACGAACCCCTTACTTTTTTGAATAGCCAGTAACTCGCATTCTTTGTTCACAAGGTAACGAACAACGGTAACGCGTTCCTTTTTTCAGACATATCGAGTAACGCTTTTCTTTTTCGAAGTAACGTATACAGCACTATATATAACACATTACTTTTCATTTCTATGTATTTTAAAATTTAAAAAATTAAATCCAAAGAAATATTATTTATATTCTATAAAAATTATACTAAATTTTTCATTAGTTAGTAGTGTTGTTAAACGGCTCGTTTTGAGCCCACTTTTAAAAACTGCTAACTCATTATTTCATCCAGAAAAATATTACGCAAGCCTGATGATTTTGGTTATAGAAGGAACAAAGGTCTTGACAAATATCATCGAAATCTCAAGGTTTAGGTAATATTATTCTGGTTACAATATTGAGTTAGCCGTTTTAAAAAATCGGCTCAAAATGAGCCGTTTAACAACACTATTAGATAGCAATGTATATTTTTAATTTTTTTTGTATATTTTTCTTATTCAAAATATTTATTTTATTAGAATTTATACAATAATAAAATGTGACTATACGTATTTTTAATGGCTAGTGAAGACATAGCCTTATGGTCATTAAAAATTACAATGAATCTTGAGTTTTTATAAATATTATATCTATCATGTCCGATTTTTCAACTAAAAAACATAAAGGATATTCGTAATAAGACAAATTTTATAGATCTTGTAGTAAAAATAAATACTTCAACATTCTAGTAGATTTGATTTGTATGAGTAAAAGTCGATTTTTAAAAAAATACATATTTTTAAAAAAATAATTGTATATTTTTTTTACAAAATAGTAATTTTTTTGTTATATTCTATTAGCCTATTCTTTAATCGAGACTAAATCCTCCTGAAATAATGGAATACAGTTATCTTTTCTGATAACTCCAGTTTTGGAATGAAATATGGTAATGTTAGGGAGAGTTTAGATTGAACCAAGAATGAACTCTTTCACCCAGATTTAAAACCAATCTTAAATTTCCAGAAAGCGCGATTTATGGGTTCAGAAGGTTTTGGAATGTAAATGGCAAAACGCTTTTAAACAGGGCTGGGAACCCCCACTCTGATATTTTACTGAACCTTGACCCATTAATTTTTTTTTCAGAGTTCAATTATTTTTTTAAAAATTTTTTATTTTTTTTTATAAAATTTGAAAGTATTAAAAAATAAAGTAAAATATTTCGTCGCCTGAAAATTAGGTTATTCGATTTCCATTTTTGTCAAAAATGATTTTTTTTGATATATCGATTATTTAAGAATACATTAATCTATTTGCATAAAAAAATCTTAGACTTTTAACTTATCAAATCAATTATAGCCAGTATTAGATTATTCTATCACCCTATTAGTGTTGTTAATCGATAACCTAACTAGAGGACGAATATTTCATAAATACCTAAATTTTTATTTTTTTGATATCAGCTCAATAAATTATTTGGCTCAGTTTCTGTATCGAGCATTTATAAATGTATCGGTATTTAGATATGTTTTTAACCGATGTATTTAGTAATTTTAAATATGGCTAACTCAGTATTATATTCAGAAAAATATTATGCCTGATTTTGTTCGATGGCAGTTTGACATCTATTCGCAAAATCTCGAGGTTTAGATAATATTTTTCTGGTGAAAATATTTAGTTAATCATTTTTAAAAATCATCTCAAAGGGGGATATTTTGCATCACTAGATGTATCTATATCCAGATCCATTTTAGACGATGTATCTTAATCATTTTAAGTATATTTTAACTACTCTGCTAATCAGTAAGGATATGGTAGGATAAAAAATTATTCCTAATAAAGATGTGTAAAATACTGTCCGGTCCGGGTCTATTTTTATATAATTTCGGTTCGGGCTCGGTCTAATATTTTTTAAAGAGTTTCGGGCCCGGCATAAATTTTTAAATATGATATTATTACATTTAAAGATATATTTTTAAATTCTTGCTGGTAAATAAAAAGCAAAATAATCGGATTTTGGTTTTGTGGCAATTATTCAAGTATATTGCCCACTTTAAAAAAAATAAATTACTATATATTTGGTATAATATTGGATTGCATTACTACTTAATACTTTTATTTAAAATGTAATAACTGTTGCCCACTCTAGGAATTTGTACAAATATTAGGAGGTATAAAGTAGAGGTCTGTTAAGTAATTTTTTCGCAGCCCGAGCCCGAATTTAAAAATAGCCCGAATTTAAAAATAGCCCGAAATAAAATTTTACAATTTGAGTGAATATTATAACCAAAAAAAATTATGTGTATTTATTCATCGCCACCTTAAATAAAAGTTTATTTGACGGCCATATTCTAATCAAGATATATATTAAGTTGCATTTTATTTAATTTGTAAAAAATATTATAAAAAAGTTAAAATATAATCGAATCTAAAAATTATAAATAATTTAACCATATTTGATATATTTGACCTTTTTTTTCATATATGCGTTTAATTTCAGAAATAATTTATTGTGTATATCAGTAGTGTAGCTACTGGGGGGGGGGGGGGGGTCGGGTTTGGACCCCCCGCCACAGAGCAATTTTTTTTAGATTATACGTTCAAAAGACTCAAAAGTGACTTTATATCAAAAAATATCATGAATATTTATATTTTTCTGTTTTTGATGTTTGTGGAAGGATATTATATTACTATTGAAATTATTCTGGATAATATTATTATAAAGTCATTGAGAATAGTCTACTAAATTATAATAACATATTATTGATGCATTTAAAAAATAAAGAGGCCTATTATTTTATATTAAATAAATTATTACTACATATCTTCAAAATAATTAAATTACTCAATAGTTATTTATTTTGTAAATATTTATTGATAAATTTTAAATACAAATAACAAGATAAAATAGAATCAATAATATACAAATGAATATATAGTTAATGATTTCATATTGTAACATCCCAATTATTTAAGCACATACAATGTTTAAGTGTTATCGGTGACATCTTGTTTCGCTTCTTGGTCAAAAAATCAACGGCTTTGCTGAATGTTCTTTCACATGGAACGCTGGACGTTTGTTGAGCAAGGTAATCCTTAGCTATCAGCGACAAGGTTGGGTAAAAAATCTGTTTTTCGCTTACTAATCAAGTATATTGGTTGAAGCTGGTGTAACAGGTTCTTTATTCTATAATTTCATCTCTCGTAAGATCTGGAAATTCACAAGCTTCCCTAAAATTTATAAATTAATATAACCAAACACTTATAATTACTTTCTCAATTCGTGATGCATACAGACCGAATAAGGCTGTGTTTTTATATCATCTTGAGAGAACTCATATACATTCGCTTTGTGAAATGGCCACCCATAATCTTTATATAATCTTTTAAAATTTTCATTATAATCCTGCTTTGTTACAAAATTAGGCATACATTATATTTTAGTTTTTGGATCTAACATGGTAGCTACATAATTTCTGAATATGCTCAGGTAATTTTTATATGTTCCACATTTTATCAGCATTTTACTTGCTGCATTTTTAATATCATCATTTGGATGATTTTTGGAAGCCTCCCCTAATTTGTCCATCTTTGCTATAAATAAAACTGCGGTTCCAATTATAGTGATATCTGATGATATTTCGAGTGTTATTTTATAAAAAGGCTTTAAAAAAATTTCAACTTATTTAAAAATTTTGCCGCATTATCGTTTATATCGAAAGGCTCTGTCAAACATTTTTTCCTAGCTGTTTAATTGCATCTAGATTCTATATAAATTAAATATATTATTAGACAATGCAATGTTATATCTCAAAAAGTATCAAAATTGTAATATTATATTATTTGAATATTATTTAAACTTAAAAGGTCTATTGAAATTAATTATATTATGGCTTAAAATGTAGGGAAGATTGAGATTTGTAAAAAAACAGTTTGACTAGCCTCAGTTTCTCTTATATATAGCCAACCTTTTTTAATAATATAATGATTACCATTGATCATATATCTTTTAGAAGAATATAAAAGACATTATAGAAAAAATAATAACTTACTTTGTTTTATTTGATAACATTAAATATTTAGAGTTCCATCTAGTTACTACATCTAAAGGAATCCTCGTCCCACCTGATAGCTCCATGTATTTTTGTAAAAGTTTTGTTGAAGAATGTAACTTAACATTAGTTATTTTATTTGGTTTTTTATCTAAGGCTGAAATCCCCTCTTTATCTATCAAATTTATAATATTAAACATCGGTAGCTGTCTAAACTTGTTTATATTATATTTTTCATGATAGTGTATCATTTTTTTCAACTATATTTGGTGCATGATGGAGATAAACTTGTCCTGGATCTCGAAATCATCGAGAGATTCTAACAAATATTGTGATATATCCTCAACACTGAGAATATGGTAGCTCAATTAAATCTAGAAGACAACTTTCCATTTTCCACTTTTTATCAATATAGTGGCATGTAATTACGCAAAAAGACGATGAGTTGATCGATGCCCACATATGAGTTGTGATGGCCAATTTACTTTTAACATTTTTTGATGAGTTTATATATTTTTTCAATATATTTGCTAGGTGTTTGTCTTGTCCAAATTTTGTCATGCTTGAATATGAAGGAATAAATATTTCTGAACTCCTTACTACCCATAGCTTTGAAAGGAATATTGTTCTCTAATAAATCTCAAAATAATTTATTGAATATGAAGGAAAAAATATTTCTGAACTCCTTATTATCCATAGCTTTGAAGTAATAAATCTCAAAATAATTTATTAAGACATTAGTTTTCCTTAGATAATAGTATACGAATGTCAACTAAGTTTTTTGGTATATCTTCACTCTCTCCATTTCCAATTTACTCTGAATGATTTCTTCTAACGTGATTTTTTACATTGGTTATAAAAAAATAAATATAGCTTGGAACATTAAGCTTGCTTCCTTTAACGTGTCTAATGAGGCCACCAGTTTTCTACAGTTTTCATCTTCATCGGAGAAAAAAATTACAGGTTGTTTTATCTATTATGATTTAGAATATAATAAGAATATATATGAACCTGTTTAGAAATGAATAAGACATTTATATATCAAAGTTCCGTTCCCGGAACGTTCTGTTCCATGTCCCTGATTATAATAATATGCCCTGTCACTTTTTTTAAGAATACCATTTAGGTTATAAACATAATTAAAACCATATATATTATTTTTTCCAATGTCCTGCAGGAGTACTAATTGCACGGCCTAGCCCAGATATGTAAAAAAAACACAGCCCAGATTACTTTTCAAAAGGATTTTCAGCCCGGCTAAAATTTTAAATTTTTACTGGCCAATATTTTTTCAACAAAGTAAAATTTGCGGCCTACTCGGATGTAAAAATTTTTTGGCCCGCATTTTATAAGAAAAGATACTTGATTAAAAAAAATGTATCTATTTGGCATTTTACCGTTCATTTTTCAGCAAATATGAAATTATTCAATATTTAACAACTCAAAATATCTCCTTTATTTTAAAATAATAGATTAATATTATTTTTCACTTAATACCAAAAAAATAGGGAAATAACTAGTAGATGTAAAATTTATAATTTCACCTATAAATAATTATGATTAGTTGAATAATTTACAAAATATTAACATTTATTTTATAAACTTGATAAATATTTTCTAACAATCGATAAAATGGTTTTGAAATGGAAATATGAAAAAAGTGAATGAATGTTATATATTATTATTCAAATATGCTTTATTTTTACATTTTTAATTTATATATATAATATAAAATAGTCGCTATTTAGAATATTCAGCCCGGCCCGGGTATTTTTAAAAAAATTTAAACCCGGCCCAGCTCTGGTATTTAAAAAAAATCGTTTTTTCTCTGCCATATTACATAATTTCATTTTTTTAAATGTATATTTTTTAACACAGATTTATACCCTATGGATAGACGATGTCAATAATAAAGAATGTACAAGGCCAGCATATGCCAAAAATATAAAAGCACCTCTGGGGATTTATGTTTTGAATAGAATGAATAATGGATACAAAGCGCTACTAGCCGGACTCTTTTCATTAAACTATAAAGCCTTGGACATTAATGACCAAAAATTTAAAGATATGGTATATCATTTCTTTTAGTTATTTATTCATATCTTTTTAATATTATCATTTAGCAATAAAAATTTATTATACTGACCCTTATCATTTATGATAAGTCATAGAAAGAATAAAGACTGGGAATTTAACGGTAGTGGAACGAGATAAATAATTATTTAGAGCACGGTTACAATTATTTTAATTCAAACGTTGAATCACATATTTAAAACTCAAATATTTATTTAAAACTCAAATATTTTATGAATTAGGCTACATTCTAGCAAACAATTTAAATTGCACGATTTTATTCACACTAATTTTTTTCGAACGAAGTGGGTTTTTTTACTAAATAAAAATGACCTGGGAAATTAATGGCGCAATTATTTTGCTTTGTCAATTGCGACTTGCTATATTTTACATGGGTTTTTTTTTACTTCTTCTAATAAAATCGCTCACTTTTAAAGCTTGCTATGAAATAGATATATATAAAAACAAAATCGAAAGCCTAAAAAATCACTAACTTTTCAAATTTCGTCATTTTCTTTACCCGCTTTTAGTCTTTTATATTGTTAAAAACAACAAATCTCACGCCTATCAAAACTGGAAAAAATAAATTAAGGGGCTAAATTAAAATGAGAGGAAGAATCCACCAATTTTTTACAGGCTGCAGTTATCTGTGCGCACATAGAGGCTAACTATGCTTAAACGCTTATGGGCAGTAATAAGATAATAAAAAGCCCAGACCCGATTTAAATAAATGTTTTAATTTGTTTGTTTTTGGTAAGGTTAAATTTAAGTTTTTCTTAGTTAAAGTTCATAAGGCTTTTGCTATATTTCGATAAAATATTAAATTAAATTATGGTAATGGAAAGAAATTAAATAATATTTTTGCTGCTGATTAGCATATTGATATTCCTAGATAATGATGAATGAAAACGATAATTGTAATGTTGTTTTTCCTTTATACGAGTTAAGCCTAAGAAGAGGTATGCAGGTATATGCATTTTTTATTTGATATAATTTTAAGACAAATATCAACATTTCGTTGTTAATGACATCTGTTGATAAAGGTATGAACTTTCTTTATTTGTGTTTTATTCGCATCCTGCGTGTACTATAGTTAGATTATGCTGAAATATCGGCTAATTCGGCTCAATGTACAGGTATGTACTTCAGAAAATCTTTTAACATTATGGTAATTAGTTTCTTTCAAATTTGAGCTAAGAAAAACTTCGAGGTCAAAGTGAAAGTTTTCTCCAAACACTCAGTTTAGCCTATTTATAGTAAGACTGGTATAACTGTTGAGCTGAATCTGAGTTGAGTTTTCAGTGATATCTCGTTTGATGACCATTGTTTATAATATATCGTATACGTGATATTCGCATTTTTTTTCTTTTCATCATTTGTGTTTCCTTTTTTGTCGTACTCCAAAATATTTAAAATACATAATAGTTTTTTAATAACTTTTGAGTCAACTAAGGTTATCATTTTGCACTCTAATAATTAATGCTTAACCCCGCTTTTAAGCTATTTAAGCTTAGTGTTTTTTATTAGATTGTTTCCATAATCGATTTTGTGACGAATACATGTCATCAATGTAGGAGATGATTTTTTGATATTGACTAATTTTTTACATAGGCATTACCGAAATAACAGTCTCTAATTGTGTCTTTTATGATTATATGGAGGATTATCGGCGAAAGTAGTCAGCATTGCCTTACTCTCCTTACAATCCTAAACAGGGGAGATTGAATTTTCCCTATTTGAAATTTGGCGAATGAATTGTTATAATAAAATATCAAGATTTTAATTAATACTGGAATCTATCCATCTTTGTAACTACCACAGAAAACCAAACCCGACATACTTTAATGATTTTAGAGCTATTGCACTTACATAAGTCATATCAAAAGTATTCATGACCCTTTAATAGAATATAAACTCTTAAAAATCTGTTAGGAAAAAATATATTAACTTTGAAAGTAACTGCAAAAATTCAATAGGTACAGACTACCGTGCATCTTCAAGGCCTTCGATAAGGTGAAGCATTTAGAATTATGTTACTCCCTTAAAATGTGGTATAGAAAGAAATATAATCAAATCCTGAAATTTTATTATAACAATTCGTTCGCCTTATTTCAAATATGGCAAATTCAATCTCATCAAAAGAGGAGTAAGGCAAGGTTGCATACTTTCGATAAATGAATAAGATTATTTCAGACACAATATGAGACTCCGATACTTCGATACTGCCATCGAATAAAATTAGCCAATATCAAAAAAATATCTCCTCTCCTACTTTGATGACATGTATTCGTTACAAAATTGGTTACGAAAACAATAGATCTAATGAAAACCATAAGCTCATAGGCTGTGTCCTGGTTCTACTCATTACTAAATAGCTTTAACTAAAGTCTATAAAGTTCTAAAAAATGAAAAAAACAATGCGATCAAATACCTAAAACAAATCAAAATACGGTATTCTAGTTCAAAAGCTGTTTAGTCCATTTAGTATCAAAATGAAGTCGACAATTAAAGGGTTGAATATTTGGTAGCGTGATACATTTCTGTTAGTGTTGTTGAACGGTTAGATTTTTAAAAATGGCTAACCGAAAATTTTAGCCAAAATATATTACGCTAGCCTGGAGATTTTGCCATATATGGCAGGAAGATTGGACATCTATTAATGAAATCGGCTTGCGTAATATTTTATTGGTTATAATCTTAATTTAAAATCGGCGAAATCGAGCCTTTTAACAACAATCTCTGGTAAAGAAAGCATTTATCGATTTAGTAAACCCTCGATATAATAGTTAAATTTAAATATATGATGCGAAATCAGTAGTAAATTTTTGATATAATTTGAATATTTTTTGACCTTTAGATCTTTTTATTTTAGGTTTAAACTTTTATTTATTCTTATCTTTAACTTTTCTTGATTATATAAATATTAAAAATAATATCGTTTCAAAAAAGATATACAAGAAAATGTACTCCCAAAAGCTATATTATCATCATGGGTTAAATCATAATTTATTTAGAGTATTATATTTATTCCAAAATTTATAATTCTTCAGGTTTATGAAAATGCAATCGTATGTTTAAAAGCCTTATCCAAACGCCTTGAAGAGAATGAATTTCTTTTGGGAAACCCTTAGTAACTAAAAACTAGGCAGGAATTAATAAAAGAATTTAATACAACATTTAATTTGAATTTGATTATAAACTTGAAAATGATTTTTACCTTGGATTAAATCATTTCTTAAAAGTAAGGGAGGCCACCCGGGGCAGGTAATTTCTTCTCAAATAATTTAAAATAACAAACTTTGATATTTGAAATTTAAACCATATATATATTTTAACAAGATGCTTCGATGGTTATAAAAATGTTTTGCAGAAATATGCTCATGAAAATTTTAAATTTAATTTTTTACATTAAAAATTATTCAGACTAAACATGATAAACTTATCTAAATTTTATCATGTATAAAAATATTAACAATATTCATGGTAATCTAATATTTTGAAATTAAATTTTAATTAATTTGACGACCTGGGAAAGATGTTGGCTGGTAACGTATTAGCCATTTTTTAGCAGGGAGTATTTTGAATAAAATTTAACTAAATTTATAAGAGTAAAGCCATTTCTAAAGCCACAAATGACAATATAAAGATGATTGGCTTATTTTTGTAAATTATTGACAGTTTTAAGTAACAACAAGCTTCTCCGGATTTATATAATATAAATGAGGTAAATTTAATATATTTGACAAATTTTCATTTATTTACTTAAAATTAAAATTTTTATATAAAAATTCTATAAATAAAGAAGTTCTATCGCACGCAACACGAAAGGATAATAGGTACATCGGGTGTTTATCATAATTCTAAATTTTCATTTTTAAAAATTTTAAATTAATAAGAAACTAGTAGATTTTTTTTCTTAAATAATGATTTCTACCGTAAAAATAGAAATACGTATAGAATAAAACTACGTTTAAACATTTTGGAAAATTTGCTTATTTTTTATACCACTTCAATTTTTATGGACAATCCCCGAACCCCTATCTGGAATTTAAACAAAGTATTAATATTTTCTGTAAATATATAATGAATGTTCCGGGTTTAAAAATTCAAGTAAATAAAAATCCGTGCCAGGCCAATTTAAAAAAAAAAAATTTAATATTAAGTAATCAAGTCGGCAGAACGATGTGAAAATCAAACAATTATATATGGATCGGAGCATTAGGTTTTTTTACGAAGAGTGCAAATGAAACACTTACGTTAAATAACACATTTAGACTATTTAAACTATTAAAATCCTTTATAGCATATAAGGTTGAAAGATTTATAGACCACATATAGGTAATTGTATAATTACGAACATCCTGGAGAACACGAGCCACAGAATATTTACCAAAATAGCTTCGTTGTTTCACAAGGACATATTACTCTTTTAAATTGTACTATAGAAAAGATGGCTTTTTCCCTATCTACCAAGAGATCAAATAACGAAAAATTAAATTACTTGGACATATTATACGTCAGGTTTGAGAAAATATAATATTTCAAACGTTATATAATAAACATTTACTACGAAATAGGAGGAATAAAACAAATACATTAAAGTAGTTGATAAAGAAAGATCATAAAGCTTTTAGATAGAATAAGTGATATGGCAAATGTTTATCAGTTGTTTAAGAAAGGAAAGTTGTATTTATAGCCTACTTTGTAAGAAATTAAAAAAAAATGAATTATTAAAAAGTTTCTCTAAAATAAAATATTTACATTCACTTAAATAAGTATAAATAATATTTTACAAACATACAGTAATAAAATTATTCATAAAAATTGTAGGATTTTATAATATAAGAATTGAGTGTATTTGATACTACCCTTGACTTACTTTAATCTTCTTTATATTACTTCCTTGTTGTGGGGGGGGGGGGGGAGGGGATACTAGAATATAAAAATATTTAAAATTTTTTTTATTATAGATGATAAATAAACAAATAGGGCGGGTTTCTTGGAGCTACCCTTGATAACTTAATTTACCTTTCTTCTGGGTAACAAGGTTTGTTGGTATCCTTGCAAAATACCTGTATAATTGTTAAAGGAAGGGCCTCTGCATAATTCTTTAGCTCTTAATATGGTAGGTAAAAGACCAATGTTTAAGTAATTTTTTGCCAGTTAATTTATTCATTTTAAACACTAAAAAATGTGTAAGGATGCATTTTTAACAGAATTAAATTTAATTCATAATTTGAATTAAATTCTATTTTTTTTAATTCCTGCCTATATTATTTGTAAAATATATTTTATTAAAACATGAAATTTGAAAAAATCATTTTTATTAATCCCACAGTGAATGTCCTAAATTGTAAAATTTTAGTCAAATTTTTTATTAAAATAATAATGCTAAAAGATTTTTGTGAAAGTTTCTTTTGAGGATTGATCCTAAACCCCGCACTCGATTAAATCAGGTTTTTGATGTAGCGAAATTTGAACTATTTTTGATTATTTGGAAAATACGAGCATTCAAATTAAATTATGCGAGTTATGCATCCTTGAATGCTTTAATATCTTCAGGATAAAATTAAGCGAAATATTTAATTTTCTCACTACCAAAGACAAGATTTGTAAATTTCTAAAGAATCTTGAGGTAATAACATTTCTAATTAGAAAGGACGCTAGATTAATTACAATCTTTCGATTTGAGTTAAAAAATATGCATAAGAAGGGAGATAAATACACTTATTTTATAACTCCGCTGATTACACGACTGATTATTTATGATGATAAAAAAAATAATGTTTTTCTTAAAAAATGCATGCTTTATTATTTAAATTAATGTGAGTTACATTTTCTAAGAAAATAATGAAAAACAGAGATTATTTTAGTTTTTTAATGCAAATCTTATTTAAAATAAAACGCAAAACAGAAAAGCTTCATTTTAAGCACTAACCAAAATGCAATCCTGTAGAATTTTTTTCAACCATAAAATATATCTTACCATATAGAGATAAATTACCTTATTAAAACTTGTTAATTTAATTTGATATAAACTGAATTCTTAATTTACAGTATTGATAATTTATAAATATATTCAAAATTAAATAAAACTAATTAAAGTCCGACGAAAGTAGATACCTACATGTATGCCAATTTAGCTATACTTTATTATGCACCCTTGAAAAATGCGGAACTAAAATCGCATCTTTTATCCTTGCCAAATCTCGTTTCTTATGTGCAAAGGTTTACTCAGATCTATTTTAACAATACCACCGGTAAAAAAAAACATTTTTTTAATTTTAATCTTATATAATTCATTATCCATAATGAGGCAAGAAATACATATTCCTAGAAAAACATAATTGAATAATCTTTTATTCGATACACTGTATTAATACAATTATTATAATTGATTCAAAGTCGGTCCTCCATCCCTCCTTCATGACACATTCGTCATAAGACCAAAAAAAGACCTATTATTTTTATATAACTGTTTGATGCGATCAAGCTAGTTTCAATGTTTTTTGGACTTGGTCCAGTCAAACCTTGATTTTAATTTTTTTATACCATAGCCCTCTTCTATCTCAGTAAATTATTGATCAACGTTGGACAACAAAAGATATTAAATTCTAATCGGTTCACAGACCTTTTTATTCGGGTGAATTTTTTAACGGTTCGGTTTTTAAATAATGGTTACTAACTATTCGGGTTTGATCCTTGTTTTATTCTCATAGATATTTCCGAATTTTTTTATTTACATTTTCCCATATCTTCTATTCTCTTATTTATCATTATCTTACTTCATTACTGAATGCTCTCTTTATTTCTTTTACCCTATCATTTTCGTTGTATCTCTATTTATTCAAAGTTTATAAACAAATTTTTCATTAAATAATTCTTCACTACCCTTATGTTCTCTGTTGATTTCTAAGCGTATCAACTTTTTCATTTACCGATTCTTATTACGCTTTATGTCCAAAGTAGGACTTCATTTAATTAACAATATTTCACTGACCCTTAATTATGGGCCTCCATCTCCTTTAGGGATAATTCATTACCTGATTTCGTAGTAGGAAGTCCTTAGTTTAATTTGAAATGATTATACTATTTATCCTTTTTATGTGCACAATCTTCTGCTCTCATGTTAGCATTAATAGGGAGACTAGCATTTGCCTCTATATATGTGTGAGAAGGTAGAAAGAAAAATTATTTTGGAGGTTAATAGGTATGTAGTCCTACAAATTTTCCCTCTCATGAAGACGCTACGCTTTCTTTATTTTATCAAATGACAACCATATTTGAACATTCGAACCTAGGCCTTAATTGAAAGACATGATGACCACTTTTATATTAATCTTCTCTATGTATGTTATAATTTTCGGCGACATCGTTGTCAATTGAAAATTAGTATGGTCTCAATGCCTGGCTGGGTAGGGGCGGTCCAAGCACAGTGTGGTATATATTGTATTATTATTGAAAAGCACATCTATCTAGCTTATAATCTTGCTATAACTCTATTCATGATAGTTCTAAACGTTAATAATAACATCATTGACCAAATATATTGCAAATCAAATAAAATTTGAAGAAGAAAACGAATGGACGACTATGAATGAGTCTTAAGACCAAAAGCCCACTATATTATTATGTTATTATCTAAATATTTTTTGCTACTTTAGATTCTACATTTGATGCCTTTAGTAAGCAAGAATCAGAATGGCCTAACAAAAAAAGAGATAAAATTTTATGGGGAATTTTTATTATGACTTCTATTACTACCTACGCCTTTTTATCAGGTTTATCATCATACGAAGTATTATTTTATTCTTTAAAATTTTCTAAGTTAAAATGGATTTTTATATGATTAAATCATATATTAAATTTTTCATATCTCCTTCCTATGGCAATTTACTATATATAATGTTTTAAATACTATCTATTTGCAAGGATTCTAGTTTTTTTTCTATATTAAAGTTAAATCATTTAGTTAAAAATAAATTTACCATGCTGCGGATTAAATAAAATGTACCATATTTTCTTTTATCATTTTAAATCAGGTATAATCAAAATCGAATATGTGTAATAAATCAGCAAATCGTTGTTCCGAAAAAGTTTCAAAGCCAAATGATATCAATAATTAAATAATTACCACACAATATTAATAACCTAGAGTTTCGAGGATTTCGTTTAGTCTATAATTTATAAAATGATATTTTTATTGGAACAAATAAACTCCTTCAATAAAATCATATATATTATTTTACCCTCAGGGATCGACATGAAAGTATAGCATTTTTTTAACTCGGTAATATCTAACGCATTATTTGTTATGAGAGGAGGGGTGATACAAGTTTTCTTTTCAATCTCAGTACATGTATCTGCCGTTATCTTTTAGAATAAGAGTATTGCTACAGGTCGGGAGCTATTGATAAGTGATGGGTTCAAATTGCTATAGACCACTAACTGCGTTGTGTACTCGTGATGACTATTAATTTTTTGTGCCTTATATTAAAGCTGTTAAGGCAATGGAGTGAAAGGGTTCACCTGTACTCCGCATCTTCGACAATTAGTTGAGTAAATCAACTCCTAGTCTGATCGTATCTAAATTTGTTATCCCAAAATGACATTAATTAGTTTTCTAGTCATTCATAACCAATCTTAAAACCAAGGAACGGAATTTATAAGCTGTTGGATGGCTTTAGAAAATTAATAGCCAATGGAGAATAATGCGATACTGGATCCTAATACTTATCTAAATTGATTGTTGGATAATTTATATACTATCTTTTGTATTTGTGACCCCATTAGTTGGAACGAGCAGGGTCACATGACACGATTTTCACTGGCTAGTCCCCTTCGAAAATCTACATCCAGGGATCCGAACCCGGAGAAGAAAACTCAGGTTTTTGGATAAAAATATGAACCGAACCTGAACCCCGTTTGTAAAATTTTTAAAACCCCGATCCGGGAATTTTATTTGAATCCGTGATCAGAGTTAATTTATTGTTTAAAATCATGTATTAAGATATTTGTATAATTATAATAAATACAAATATTAATAATTTAATTGAGATTTATAATATTTTCAAATTTCCAATTATGTGAAGTGTTAATAAATTTTAAACAACCTAATTCATTTACGCATTTTAAAATTTATTTTCAAAGATTCCTTTTGGAATGTTAATATATTTAAAACAAATAAATTCATGCGCCATTTATTTTTAAGTTTTAACTTATTCTAAATCTTATTAATTAGAGGAAAATGAAAGTGAACTAATCAAAGTAAAAATTATTATATTGCATATTGTTAATTTGAAGAAATACGTCTAAATAAAATATTTAAAATTTATACATAACTGCTTTGTATTTTTAACTATATTTTGCCTATAAATAAAATAAAACATTTATTTTCATACCAAATTATGATTTTTTTTTATCAATTCGAAAATTCTTAAACCTGAGCTGAACCCGGAACCAAACCTGGGTTCAAAATAATTTTCACGAACCGAACCACCTATTTTTTACCTTAAACATAACCCGGGCAAAAATTTTGCCAGGTTCGCTTCCCATCTTACATTAACCCCTGAAAAATTTTCTCACTTTAACTTTTTACATTAAAAAAAACAAACTTAAATTATTAATATTCTTCTAACTAACTATTAAATCTGAATTTTGAGTATTTTTTTAGAATCTGAATTTAATTAAAAACCACTCATTTATAATGAATATTATAGTACATTGTTTGGCATTAATATAAGTTTGTTTGACATGAATATGAGCTATGAATATAAGTTTGTTATTGTTGTTTAAATAGCTTTTTTTTGACAAATAGGGGTTCTTGTATAGAAAATAGCTGTTATCAAATTAGAATTGATAGGAATTAGTCTGGATTTAGCTCAATATAAAGAATTTAATTTAAATATAAGATTTTAAAACGATTCTTTATTTTAAAATGTTAACTGATTAAATTTTATAATATATAATATCTTTTTATCTACAACGTAAATCAAATATGTAAAATTGTATAACATATAAAATCACGTTATCCAATTTACAACATAAAATATATTACAATATAATATATCGTTACTAAAAAAAACGATCGCCTTAAACCTTCTAAAATGAAAAAGTATATTAAAATATATAGTTCAAACATGTAATGTAACAAGAACTAATCCTCATGTAAAATTTATTAAAATATGATAATTTTGAACACAAATAATAAAATATTAGATAGATCTCGATTAAAGCTAGTCTATTCAATAAATTTTAAGATGTTATACACATAATAGACTTTATTCTCTGTAATGAAGAAAAGTCCTTATTTGTGCTTGTACCAATTGGTATCATTGTCAAAATATACAGTAATTTTTATATATTTTGGAAACATAAAATATATTTTAAAGTATACAATTCTTCTACTGTATTTCTTAGAGGATTATCTACAAAAATGTGTTTTTTATACTATTTAAATTCTGAAATTTATTGGCCTTCCGGTGCGCTTATGTCCTCATAATAAAATTTAGCTAAATGGTCAATATCAAGATTTGATATATGCCCATATCAGTGGGAGTTGTGAGATATTATATTTGTAAATTAGCTAGAACCATTTGATAAATTTCAAATCGTTTCTTGATTTGAGTCAAAATTAAATCCAAATGTGGGATATAAACCGTTATTTTATAATGATCTTCAAATGAGTACACATTAATATTGGAACAATTTGTTTGTCGGTAAGGTCGAGGCTTGTGAATCACAAAATAATATAATTTCTCTTTCACCCAACAATTACAAATATCGAGAATTCTTAGTCGATATTCTATTGATCTAAATTGTAAATATTCGCAATTCTTATAATCCATTTCTTTAAAAAATACCGCATAAAATTGTGTAATAATTAATATATTTCAATGAAAAAAAATCGGCAGTCATATTAAATTTAATAATGTATCAGCTTCAGATATGTATTACCGGATATTCTGTATTTCTCCAGCATAAATAATAGGCTCCTCTATCCATGTTGTAGAAGGCCCCATGTACAGTCTTTTTGCAGTTTCTTTTTTTCCTGTAGTACAAAAAGTCTCAGAAATTAATATATACAGAAAATTCTATCTATTTGGACATCTGAACATTCCTTACACTCTAGAAATTTTATAATCATAGTTATTACTAAAGTTAAATTATATGGAATTTTTCTTGGTTGATATTTTCTTATGTCCAACTATGTTTAAGGTTTAAAAAATATAAGAAAATAAACTTTAAATTTTCGTGAGATAAAATATTTATATACAAGAAATAAATATTTAAATTACTTTTCGCTAATATTTAGAATAGAAAACCTATTTGAAATATAATACTTTACAATTCTTAAACCCTTTTATATTTTTATCAAAAATCTTCGATATGAGGGGAGGTATTTCTCCAAATCTACTCCTCGCCAGCTACACGGTGCTTTTTTTCATAGAATTTTACTAAGGGTTGGGGGTATTTCCTCACCTTCCATGTATAATGGGTAGATATTTCTATTCGATTTACCATTATGTGATTATATATTAATTTTAATCAAAAAATATAGTTATTCAGGAAGTTATATAACACAAATTTTTAAATGATAATATCATGAAATATTTATCTTTATAAATCTATTGCCTGTAACCGTTTTTATGATAGCCATCAAGATATAAGAAATTTGTATTCGCTTTATTGTCTTAAAACATTGATAGAATGGGGAAAGAGTCTCCAGCTGTTTATTCAACTTTTATATTAAATTTGATCAATTGGTTAATTGGAGTAATTAATAAATATATATATTGAATACCTTATTTTATAGCGAAAATTTAATAACAACATGAGATATACCAAATATGTTTCTTCAAGGTTTTTTAAATATAAGCTCAATTCATATTTTATATTATAGATCTGAACCAGACCCTAACCTTCCCCCTGGCCCACATGCAAAGTTAAGTGAAAATTATTATTTTCAGCGTGATGGAAGGAGAGAAATTAATCCGCCTGAAGAAATCTTTCCAATTAAGAAAAACTTAACTTATTCAAACAATATAAGATTACTTAAAGAGTATAGATTTAAATTTATTAATTCTTGGCTATGGCTAGGCCACAAAATGTGCGGTGTTATTTAGTTGGTAGACTATACCACACCATGTTAAATGTTATTTAATTATACCACACAATGTAAAATTTTCAGAAATAATTTTAATGGATAATGGAACATGCCCACTACATATATATAAATTTTATATTTTCAACAAATACATTAAACTTTTGCTTGAAAGAATATGAACTTATAATCACTAATAATTAAAGTAGCAAAATTTTTAAATCTTTTGAATCTAAATTTATTAAGGTTGCTTAAAAAAATGGAAAAATCAAGAAAACACATTTGTCAGAAATATATATTTTTATTGCAATATCCTTTGCAATTTTAAATCTCACCAAATTTTGAATTTCTTGCTAAGTTTTATTTATATTTAAATAGATATTTTAATGATATTGAACTGAGGCATGTAATGTAATGCAACACTTTTTAATCTCAGAAAGTACAATCTTATAAAAATGACTGAATGATTATATGAAATATATTTTTTTAAAATTAATATTTATAGAAATACTCTTAAGCTTTGTAAAAATCAGTTAGGGGACTCTAGGAAATATATTTTTCAGAGACCTGCAATGAACCATTTGTAAGGCCCAACCAGGATTTCTTTTTTAAAAATTTTTTGGCCTACCTCAGGTTTTATAATTTCAGGCTTGGTTTGGATTTTTTAAAAATTTAATTTTTATAGCTAATACCCAGGCTTAGAACCAAGCCTACAGGTCTCTGATATTTTTATTGTAATTAGGAAATTTTTGGCTAAATTATTATTTGTGAAATTACTAAAGTTTTTAAAAATATAGCTGACTAATTAAAAATATATTTGTTAACAATTAATTATGTATAATTAACTCTTTATTGGTACTAAATGTAAAATTTTGCAAAATTACATGTTTTTATTGATATAAATTTTTATAAATATGCTTATTACATTATAATATTAATCAGATATTTTTCAAAAATTGCAAAACCCATATTTTTTATATAATGTTTGATTGAAACACATGTGAAATAAATACAGCATGATGTAGAACCTTTATATTTCCATGGTATATTTTTTACAAGTTGACTGTGTGCTCCAGCAATTTTCTCAGGAAAAGTTACCAATTTAGATGATGGTAGGACTTGCAAACAATTTAAAATGCTATTTAATTGTATTTATTATTAAATTATTATTTTAAAATTTGAATATTAAAATATAAATTTGAGGAACTATTAGCATTACTAAATCTATTCATAGAGTCTGTTGAATTTCTTTCCCCAAAATGGATCAACAATTGATTTACGTTTATTATTTCACTTGGAAATAGAAATAAATATTGCAAATCGATAAATCTGAGAGTCAGATATCTTTTTTTGAAAGAAAATTTTCTAAAAAGCTTGACTACATGTTTCCAATTCTAATTGTAAGTAATTTATTTTATATAATATATTTTTTTTAAACATTAGACTTTTTGATCTGCGTTTTCAATATCTTATAACTGATTCAAATATCTTAATTTGAATCCTAGGGGATCCTTGTAATTTATAATTAGATATTTAAAACTTATAAAGCATGATAGAAATGAAGAGTGAGATCAATTTGAAAATGGACAAACATCCAATTCATATTGGATAGCTATAAAAGCTCATAAACGTTCCCTATCAAACAACGAATATAATAAAACACTAGCAATCTACAGCAAGAATGCTATATTTTTCATTATACTCAGATCAGGATCCATTAACCTTTTAGGGGAAAAGCGATTGGAACTCCCTAGATTTGTTAACTCTGTTAGGAAAATACTTTGTATATCTGCAACTAGTACACCTATCAAAAGAAACTTCCATTGCTGAATTAATACTCAATACCAGAAGAATCTTTTTATTCTCGCCAAATTCTACGAAATAATATTTATTTACGATAATTATAGTTTAAATTTGATTTCTAATTTATTTATATTTTATTTGCCTTCCAAATTTTTATATATATTTGTTTTAACAAAAATCGATAGAATATTACTGATGCGATGTATGACTCTGACCTGAGTAAAAGACGATTCCTTAATCTATTTCGGAGATTAAGAAATACATATTTATATAGAGGTTGGACAGGAAATAATATGAACTAAACTTTATTATCAATGGTTGAACTAAAAGCGCCCAAATAAATTTAAAAATGTAATACATCGAATTATAAATTAATTTCATATTTAAAATATGGAGCACCGCATACGCCAATTTATTAGGCTGCGCGATGAACGTTGATAAAAGATTTAAAAACTGCCTCCTCGTATGACCCACAGATGTATTTACAAGTAAACATTCATCTGGTGTAAAATATATTTTAATTAAGTTAAGATTAATTTCGTCATTGATAAGAGGTTTTATATATTTTGTGGTAATGATAAGGATCTCTTTTTCTCCAATCAAGGATTCATATTTTTTTTCTATCACTATCTCCTTAAACCTATTTTTTTTTGATGTTTTTAGATATAAATAATGGTGATATTTGTTTGATTAATTATAAATCTATAATATTCACATGTTTTTTATATATATAAACCTTAATATTCGTGAGAAACGATCTTACTTATTTAATTTAACTTTTATATAAAATAATAAAAATGATTATAAACTGGTAGTAAAAATTTAATTAATCAAAGCAACATGGTGCGGAATAGCATTTGTATACACCATACCATTTTGTTGTTTGGCTACTTTTTAAATCAAATTCTATGATATTCATTATCTTAAAATAATATCCTTATGTTTATTAAAGCTTATAATTTTTGAAATTATTTTAGCAAATATTTAACTCAATCAGATGTGGGTTTATTTTTGAATAAACTGAATCAACAAATGGGTGATAAATCAACATATATTTCAATGCCAAAAACAAAATGATCTAAATTTTTGAAATGACCTTTACTTTATATATAATTATGAGAATCTACTGAATTTAAAATATTAAAAACGTATAACATTCATTCATTAAAAGATTTTGTCACTACAATGATATTGTGTTAAATTTCTTTACGATTATATTAATTTTTGTTAACAAATACATGAAAATTTTTAAATTACTCTGGAATAGATATTATTTAAGTTTTATTAACTAACTTACCTCTTATAAAATATTCCTTTAGAAAAAACAAAAGGAAAATTTATAGGGCTTTGCAGATATTGAATATCAGATTGGGGATGATTGTGGATATAAAAATCCCCGAAAAATTGTTTTTAAGTGTTAAAACGCTAAAACACATAAAACATAAGAAAGCCGGTCACAAATTCGAAGCGATAATCGATAATATCAATATTTTTATAATTCATCATACTTAGCACATACCAATTTATAATTTTAAAAACATTAAATTTCGCAAGTTTGTTACCCACCTAAAAATCATTTAAACGAAATTTTGAAAGAAAATAAAAAATCTTAAATTTATTTTCGCATAGAAAGATTATTTTTTTTAATCAACTAAATTTTAAAAAAGGAATATTATGATTTTGACAAAGAAATTTTCCAACAAAATATATAATTTTTAAGATAATTGTGATATTCAATTTTCAATGAAATTGGTAGGTAAACTAAAACCTAGTGCTATAAACATTTCTAAGAAAATTACACCTGTCGAACGTTCATTCACAAAAATCTAACGCATTTTTAGCCATGTTTAAATTTTTAAAAAAATATTTTTATTTATAAAAAAATTTTCTTATTAATTTTTAATATATAAACCTTTTATATTCATGAAATTTAATTATTTTTACAATATATAAATTTATAATACTGTAAATTGTGTTCAACAATTAAAATATAAAACCTTTTATATAATAGATATTAGATTATAATTTCAAAGAAGCACACTAAAATAAATAAATTGTAATATATTAACTATTTTATATATGTAAAAGTTAGTTTCGATTTGTGGAAAATATAACCGAGAGAATTTGGTTTCATGGTTTACCAAGAAAAGGGGGTGGGGGGTGATATTCCAGAAAATGATTTTGTTTAAACTTATATATTATGTAACATTTAATTATTTATAAAATTCGCAAATTTATAATTAGTGTTCAACTATTAAAATATAAAACCCTTGATAATAATATAATAAGCCTATAGAATACATCAATCTAAAATGAATTATTAACTGGTTACTTATAGTTTTATTAAATAAAATAATAAATATTACAACCAAATCAAGTGTTTCTTTAAATTGGAACCTGAAAATTTTGAACTGATATTGTACATTTTAGCAGGGGCCCGAACCGTTATTTATAACGGTTCGGTTTGGCTACGGTTCAGTATGTAAAAAATTATAATGGTTACGTTTTGGTTACGGTTCTTAAGAAAAAATTTACAACGATTTTGTTCAGCTAATTATAATGGTTCATTACGGTTAGAAATTTTTTTTTATTGAAGCAAAACCATCATCTAATATATTTTTATTATAAGCATCTGAATTATATATAAAAAAATTATATAAGATTCAAAATAACTCATTTTTATATATATTATAAATAATATATTTTCTAATATAAATGGATTCATATTTGTTTGTTGTGATGATAACACAAATTTTAGCCCCGAAAAGGCCCTTTCTATAGAAACTTGTGTTGCGGGAACCATCAGTACTATAAGAGCAAATTTATATAACTGGATATTCAAATTTTTTTGATTCCTAAAATATAAAAACTGAACCGGTTTAACCTTATTTTATAAAGGTTCTTTTTACTCCTTCAAAAAATAATTATATCGATTCGGTTACGGTTCTGAGATTTATAATGGTTTAACGGTTCACTCCGGGTCTCTGCTTTTTAGACACATTTAGCATTTGGTAAGATAGAATAAGTTCCTTGAATATAGGATGTTACTATTAAGTATTTATTATAATTGGGCCTTGGTAATTTTAATTCATCTGTATCTGAAACTATCGCCTAAACCTTTAGATTTAATTTTTTTTTTAAATACTAACTTAATTCGCACCTCAAAGATTAGCGGATTTACTTTCGCGCACGTCTTAACATTTATTCTAATTATAAATTTTTAATTATATTGTTATATTATCAAATGAAAAGAAATATGATTATATTTTGAAAATGGATTTATTTATTTGATGTTTTTTTAATAAAAAAAAAGATTTGTTAAAATTTATTAGTAATTTTCACAGCTCCGTGAAGTTGGCCGAACGATTGGAAGCACTAACGATGAATCATATGTCATTTTTTAGTGCTTCGTTAGTGCTTGTTAGTGCTTCAATCCGTATAGTAGCCGAATTTAAAGAAAAAAAGTTATAGGCAAAAATAAAAATTTGTGCCAACTTCACGCTTAAAAGTCGATTGGAAGCACTAACGATGAAACATATATCATTCTTTAGTGCTTCGTTAGTAGAGGTTAGTGCTTCAATCCATATTGTAGCCGAATTTATGAATAAAAAGTTATTCACGAAAAAACAAAAATAAATAAATATTGGCGACGTGCCAAAACAAAAACTAGAGTAGTACTTAACATCCGGTTTTCGCCATTATTTAGTGCTTAATTAATGTATTTAAATTCCATTATTAATTTAGTTAACCGCCATATGGAAAAAAGCGTATCAGGTCAATTCAGCGAAACTTTTATCGCGAAACACTTTTTCGCGAAACTTTTATCGCGAATGTCGTTTATCGCGAATGTCGTTTATCGCGAAGGAATTTTATAGCGAAGGCAATATCGCGACAATTCCGCGAATTTTTTTCCGCGAAACTTTTATAGCGAAGACAATATCGCGAACTTATTATCGCGAATTTATTTCCGCGAAACCATGACCGCGAATACTTTATAGCGAATACATTATAGCGAAACTTTGATCGCGAACTCGTTATAGCGAATTTATTTCCGCGAAACCGTAACCGCGAATACTTTATAGCGAATACATTTTAGCGAAACTTTTATCGCGAACTCTTTATAGCGAATTTATTTTCGCGAAACTTTAACCGCGAATACTTTATAGCGAATACATTTTGGCGAAACTTTGATCGCGAACTCATTATCGCGAATTTATTTCCGCGAAACCTAAACCGCGAATACATTTTAGCGAAACTTTGATCGCGAACTCGTTATAGCGAAACTTTAATCGCGAACCATTTATAGCGAATTTTCTACCGCGAATGTATTTGCACGAAATTATTATAACGAGCGCATGACCGCGAAAATTGTGAATTCATTTTAAGTGAAATCGATATATTCAATATCAATTTACCAACTGAAGTTTCTTAAATCATAAACGCTAATGTTTTAAGAATATTTTATTACGTATTGTTTATTTAATAAGCATGTAACCTCTATCTGATGTGATAGAAAATATATTAGTCTTCCTGGTCTCACTCACTCATGGTTGTAAGTATGGAGCGGACATTTTGGGTTAAGTTTTTAGCAGAATAAGTTAACCCCCCCCCCACATAAAATTTAAAAGTGTGCTTTATGTCATTTAAAGTAATACTTTATTTCTAATCTAGATAAAAAAAATATACTGAAAGCTAAGAATTTTTTATTGATTTTCTCAGATTATTTTAATTATAGAAAATTTTACTGATAATTAATGCCTCCTAATTACAATTTTGAGATAATGCACATCGATATAACTTTGATATAATAGTAACTAATTCATTTGAATATTATGACCTTTCCTTTTTCTTCTATTCGCATTTTAATAAATAGAAATAACTGCAAAGTTATGATTAATCAAAAAAAAAATTCAAAATATTCTAGATTACATAAATTTCTAATATTTATGAAGAATAAATTTTGGAAATAAATCATTAGATCTTCAATTATTTTAGTTTTTTATTTTTGCTGATTTCACAAGTCAAACTAAACAATATAAAAAAAAAATTAAAAAACGTAAAATAGTTTTCATCATTTTTTAAAATAATACCAGTTCAATATAGCGTATTTGTGAAAACATCGCTAAACGCTTCTACTCAATTTGTAAGCACTTTTACTCATTTTTTCTAATAAAATGGAATTAAAAAAATCAGGGTTTTTTGAAAATAAATAGAAAATCCAAATCAAGAAAATAAAGATATTCCAATATCGGGAAATCAGGGCAAAATGGGTTAAGTGTTTATTTATTTACTTTTACATATTTTACCACGACAAGGGTGGGGGGGGGGGTTGATAAAAACATTTTCTAAATTTTGAGAGGAATATATAAATGAAGGATAATAAAAAATAATTATAAAAAGTGGCTATATTTTAATTATATTAAATAGGTGTATTATTCAATTTTCTCATTCATTTTGTAAATTGCAAAAATTTTTAGGCCCGGCCATACCTCCCATATTCTAAGAGTGAGGTGGGATTTTTAATGACTAAAGGATAAAAAGCGGGAAAGCGCCACAACTGCAATCCTTTTATATATTAATATTGGTGAATAATTTTTTTCAAATTATAATTTACAAATTTTGAATTTGAATATAAAGTCAAAATATATAAAAATTAGATCCAAATCTACATATTTATCGGAAGGAATTTATTTTATTTAAAAGTTTATTATATATGAAATAAATTTTAACTCTTCGCAATTCATGTCAAAATTCTGCTTTACCATTAATTCGGCCTCTAATAAATCAAATGAGACCGAAGAAAAATTTTTTCGCCTAATCATATTCATTAAACTCATTTCTGAGCCAGCATTTGAATGTAGAATTAAAAATAAATTTTTAGATATTTTTTAGGCCTATATTTACATTTTTATTTAATTCTTTCTAAATATTCTAACTT